TTTGAGCTTTGCGTGTCAGCATTTTGAAAAACCCTAACTTAACTCTGGTGCCATGTCACATATAGAAATTTTTTGATATTTGCAACCATAGTAAAACAAAGATTTATATTTTTGATATTTATTTTATACATTTAAATGCCATTAAAAAAGGAAAAATCAACCAAAAAAATGAGTTCGCGTGTCACCTCTGACACGAGTGTCATAGGTTCACCATCACTGTGATAGGTGCTAAATTATATTTTAGTATTTAATTAGTAGTTCTCTGATTACTAAAGGAATTAAGCAAGTTTTTATTTCTTTTGGCTGTTTGAATTTCCTCAGTTGGGTATTTCTTAGCCTATATAATAAAAACCTAATATGCAAATCGACTGAACGGAGGAATGACCAGTTGCTATGATGCACACGGACCACCAGTGGGCAGATGCTCAACACAGGAGCTGCCCCCTGGTGGTCAGTGCACTCCAACAGGGGGAGCACTGCTCAGTCAGAAGCTGGGCTCACATCTGGCAAGCGCAGCAGCGGTGGTGGGAGCCTCTCCCGCCTCTGCGACAGCACTAAGGATCCCTCCGGGGATGTCTGCCTGCTGGCTTAGGCCCACTCCCTGTGAGAGGGCATAGACCGGGCTGAGAGACCCCCTTCCCAATTGCACAAATTTTGTGTACTGGGCATCTAGTTCTCAATTCCCACTTTCTATTTGAATGATTGTCTATTAATTTAAATTTGAAGAAGATAATGGCAAAATCTGAATGCTAATCCTTTGTAGATTAGGTAGTTGCAGATACATGCTTTTGAATGATAGCTTGCATTTTCACTTTCTTAAATGAACCAATATTTTCACTTTTAATGCAGTCAACTCTATCTTTTTTCTAGTTTTTAATTGTCATGTCTTCTTATATACATACAATGCACAGATATCTATAATAATAAAAGCATACTATGCTAATTAGACCAGACAACCTTCCAGACGAAACTGGAGCTGAAAGGGCCAAGGCAGAGGCAGCAGAGATGGCAGAGGCCCCCAGCTGCCACAGCAGGCAGCTGCCCTGGCAGTGGGGGCCAAGCCCCTTGCTTGAATTTTGTGCATTGGGCCTCTAGTTGTCTGATAAAAGCTGAATGACTTTGCCTTTCACACTTAAGTTTTAGCACCCCTTACATTTCAGTTTTTGCATGGTATAATGTAGGATTCAAATTTTAATTGTTCCTCCTGTATGGCCAGTTATCCTAGCAACATGCATTTTTTTTTCTACTGCTTTTTGATTTCACCTCTGTTATGTATCAAGTTTTCACATGGTGGTGTGGGTTTTTTGGCTTCATATTTTGTTTCACTTACTGTTTTTTCTCTCCCTATAGTTAATAATAATAATAAGAAGAAAGCATGATTTCTTATTTATTAAGTCTACTCATCTTGTTATCTTACTAGGGCCAAAAATATGTCAGGCTGATTTTACTTTTGCCATATTAGAGTAAGGGATAAAGTGCAAATTTTAAAGTATTTAGTTTACACTTTTCATAGGTATTTTGTTGGGGTAAGGTATTATGTTGCATCTTCAATTCTTCCTTGCTTCATAACGGAGGATCTCTTTCAAGTGGGAATCAGAGAGAATAGAAAAAGAGAAGTGGTCTTGAGTCAGAATATGGTCCCGTTTTTGGACATATCCTTCTGTTTCCTTTGTTGAAAAGGTACATAAAATCAGCACTGTCTGATCTGTGAAGTGTTACCTCCAATGAGTATCACTCTCATGCACTGAGCACCCTTTGTGTACATGGCACCCCATGGTGGTTATTTACCAGAGGTAGAAGTAGTTGTAGCAACAATGATAGGAGTCTACTAATAGAGTAGTAAAAGAAGTAGTGATGTTTAGTAATGTTGTAGCTGCTAAAAAATTTCCTCCTTTGAATAAATAAAGTTTTTTTAAGACCTGGTTTCACTGGAGGGATTCGTTTATGATACTGAAGTGAGGTGGGGCAGCACCAACTATAATCTTCTCTTGCTTCTCAGTTTTGACAAGGATTAGGAGTGAGCCCATGGATAGGGGCTTTGGGTTCCTGGCCGGCACCTTTGATAGTCTTCAGTGATCAATTCTATGACAATACTTTGAAATAGTGCAATCCCTCTAATTTTCTTCTCTGAACGAACCACTGGCCTATACTCATTATGCTTCCCCATCTCTGCATGTAGGATCTCTCTCAATAGCAAACATGCTTTTTGGTGGGCATTATTAGAGCACCTTCCCTGCTCTCTGTTCTACCCTTGGGAATGGTTGTGCTCCCTTTAAGGGATAGTATCTTGCCCCCTCTTTGATTAGCATTGTTAATTAATTAAGATGAGAATCACTGACATTTTTCAACTGGGTCTGCAATTTAGTTTGACTAAGCAGGCAAAGAAATAGCAAATGAGAGGTTCTCCTTCAAAACGTGTTCCATATTGTGTTCTTTATTACAATTACAATGTATGTGATATTTAGTAATGAAAAATAAGAATTCCCCCTCCCATATGGGCCATTTATATAAAGCAAAGAAAATGAAGTTATATGAAAGTGCTTGGTATGTGTCATATGATTCTAATGCTGGTTAAATAGTGTTTATAGAGAGCAATAGGGTGCTTTGAGCAGAACAGGAGAGAACAGGAGATGTTCCATACCCTTTGGACTAAAAAGTAAATGTGATAGGATTACCAACTTTCGTGTGTATTTTTGTGACTTTTTGAGAGTTTTATGTATCAACATATTCTCTTCCTCTCCACACACACACACACACACACACACACACACACTCACACATGTGCATATACATATTTGTATGTTGAGATGTTAAAATTGGTACACTTATTAAACACACAAAAGCAATAAAGAAAAGTGGCCAAAAATGTAATAATTGAATGCTTAGAATGTGCTTAGTCCAAATGAAACAAATGCATTTTCCCCCTAGGCCTGCATAATATACTCAGGCACTAAGAAACTGTAGTAAACTCTTTTAGACCATAAGATTAGAACTCAGTGTACCCCTGGGTCAGTGACCTGAGGCTCAGTGAGCTTGTTGGTTCAGTGAATGTTCGTGGAGGGTCTCCTCTATTCCTGGCATTGTGGTTGGCCCTGGGATGCAGTTATATACAGAAAAGCAGAGTTTTAGAATTCTGTGTACTTAAAGTTGGCAGAATAGGTACATATTTCTAAACATTTTACTATAAATATGATGTATGATTTTGCAAAATGGTAAAATCTGTGAAAACTATGATATATGATGAGAATGAAGACCTCTATGGAGAAGTGACATTTAGATGCGAATTGAAAGATGAGGATCAGTTCTCCAGGAAAAAAAAAATGGCAAGGAATTGATCTTGGAAGACTAGAATTGTGCACAACTCTGGAATGGGGAAAGTAATTGTTATGACAAAAAAAAAAAAAAAAAAAAAGCAAGAAAGATAATGTGGCTCATTGAGGAAAAGATTGGCAAGATATGAGGTTGGCATGGTAGGTAGGTGGGGTGCCAGGCATGCTGGGATTTATTAAGGATTTTAGATATTTCCTAAGCATAATACAAAATTACTAAAATGTTTCATGCAATGAAGAATTATAATTAAAGTTAGTTTTTATAATAAATGCCATCATTTCTTGAGTACTTATCCTGTATTAGGTTTGGGCTAAGAGTTTTATCTATACTTAATTCACATTCACAAAAACCCTGGAATCATACCCTCAATGAGAAAAGTGAATCTGAGAACTTACGCTATGAAATACTACAGATCTGAAATTAGAACTTAGGTCTCTATCTCTGAAGCTCACCCTTTTAAACATTCCACTCATTGATTTTCTAATGTACTTAATTAGGCCACTAGTATATATTTTGGGAGATGGAAGTATTAGGCAGTATCTACTTCTGCCTATGAATTTTCTAGAGCAGTGGCTAGTAAGTGTTACTTGAGCAATCTTTGGTGGTTGTATTTAGGCCAAATGAAAGGGTCCCTGTTGGGAGCCATTAGAAATTACATATACATCTTCAGCTTACAACACAATAGGTTTCTGGTCCCCCCAAACCAGCTCCCGGGAACCAATTAAGCCTTGTGGTTTAGCCTGGAGTTAAAAGATAACCTACCCTCACCCTAAGTACACAGCTGCTAAATCTCCGCTGACAAGCATACATCTCTGCTGATAAGCACACAGCCATCCAGAGCCTGCTAAATCTCTACTGATAGGTTACTGCCCATAGACCCCTTTACCCACCCCCCTTCCTCTAGAACAATATAAATTCTACACGCTGTAAAAAATAAAGTTGAGGCTTGATCAGAACACTGTCTTGCCTCCATTCTTTTGTGTCCCTTGTTTGTCTCATTCTCCTAAGGTGTCTCTTCGTTCCCCGTTGTTGTCCCGCGGGTCGGGACAGTCTGGTGCCCAACGTGGGGCGACTTGGGGACCCCCTGCGAGAACGTCTGCTTGAAGCGCCTGGCCAGGCACCCCTTTGAGTCGCCGCACAGTATTGACTCGCGAGTGAAGACTCGGCATCCGGATCGCCACGGTTTCACCCGCCCGTGAGACAGATCGTTGTGAAGGTAAGCAGACGAAACTTTTCAAACAAGAATTTCAAAATACCTCTTAAGAGCCTTCACCCTCTTTGGCACCCTCTTTGGCTGGCCTTTTTAGTTTTCTTGATCTCCCTCCAGTCCACTAATAAGCGTTCACCTCGCCGTTCGGGGAAGGGTGAAAGGTACCCGAAACTGACAGTGAAAACTCTGAATCACTCGGAAGAGTAATTCTTCTCTGGCTCGACCTGTGTCACCCTCTCTGGCAAACTCTGAGCTCGCTACGTCTTAGTGGTCGCCATCCTGATATGGGGCTTATACATCCCGACCTATGACACACGAGCAGAGGCCGTAAGGTAAAAAGAGAGCGGTTACATAAGGATCTCCAGTGATTTAAGAAATTCCGAGATGACCTGGCACGGGGTTTATATGTCCCAGAGGCTTACGTGGAGGAGGAAATCTTGAGAACTACCCAGCCAAAATAATGGGCAACTCATTGAACTCTCATGAGGTATTTCTAGATGGGCTCAAGGAGTCCCTCAGGACATGGGGAGTAAGGATTAAGAGAATGGATCTTAGACAATTCTTCTCCTTTATTCATGAGACCTGCCCATGGTTCCCCCTAGAGGGCACTATTGACCATAGACAATGGAAAAGAGTAGGCGATGCCCTTCAGGATTTCTATCAAACCTTTGGCCCTGAAAAGATCCCCGTCTCTGCCTTCTCATATTGGAATTTTATCCAGGATATCCTTAAGGTCCACCCTAAAGACCCTGACATCCAAAACATAATAAAAACAGCGGAAACATCCCTTAGGGATAGCTCCCGGCCACACTCTGCCTGCCCTTCAGTATCTTTTGATATCCCTGAGGAGCCCACGGCACCCTCCAAAGAAATCACTAAATCTCAGCCTGACAAAAAATCTCCAGACATCTATAATAAACCTGATCCCCCTCCCCCTAAAATCCCGAGTATCTATCCTTTCCTCACCTCCCGAAGACATCAGGAGGACCACCTGTCTCCGGAGGATGAGGAAACCTTAGAAAATCAGGCCGCCCATTATCACAATGATAAAGACCCCTGGCGCTTTACAGCGCCGGCCCTTCGTAGCACCTCTAGTAAATCCTTTAGGCTCCCTCCCTATAACCCCGACCCCTCACTAAATATCCCTATCTTTCGAATTCCAGCCCTGGAACCATTCCGCAGCCCCCCTCCCTCCTCCGATCCCATCTGGCAAGCTAAAAACTCCCTAACCCAAGAAATTTCCTCACTAAAGGAAATTCTACAGCAAAAACGCGAACACATCCAACTTATCAAAGAAATCCGAGCCCACGAGGCTGAACTCACATCACTAAGCCCCAATCAACCCACCCAACCTCCTAAAAAATCCACAAAAAATCTAAAGTCTAAAACCCCTCTCCTCGCATTTCCAGTTACCCGTAGCCAACATCTCAGCCCCCCCCACCCCCCCCGAAGAGACTCCCCTACCCCCTGAAGACATAGAGGAAGAGGAAAATTCCTCAGAGAGCAGTCCCTCCGATTCCCACAACCAGGACCAAGGCCACGATTCGGCCGATGAGGGCTCCGATGCAGAGGGACCCACACCTACCTCAAGTCGGACCGCAACTCAAAAATACCGCCCCTTAAACCTAAAACACCTGAAGGACCTAAAAGCGGCTGTAACCAATTATGGCCCCACTGCCCCTTTCACCCTGGCCTTACTTGAAAGCCTGAGCGATCGATGGCTGATCCCTAACGATTGGTTTTCCCTGGCTCGAGCCACGTTATCAGGAGGGGAGTATGTCCTATGGCGTACTGACTTTGTAGAGAACTGCCGCGAGACCACGCAGCGCAATAGTGAAAGTAAGACCTCTCGCTCATGGACAAGGGATAAGCTACTTGGGCGCAGCCCCTATGACACCAATGAAGCTCAAGCAGCCTTCCCCCCCGGCCTTTTAGCCCAAATCCAAAACGCAGCCCTTAGGGCTTGGCGGCGCCTTCCGCCTAAAGGCTCAGCTACCACCTCCTTAGCAAAAATTCGCCAGGGCCCTGATGAACCGTACAGTGATTTCGTCAGCCGCTTAACTGACGCGGCTGAACGACTAGTCAGGGAAGGAGAAACAGAAAGCGCTTTTATTAAACACCTGGCCTATGAAAATGCTAACCCATCTTGTCAAGAGACTATATGACCCCATCGCTGTGGCAGTCTCTCTGATTATATCAAACTCTGCTCAGGTATAGGAACCTCCCATGCCATTGGACTAGCCATAGGGGCTGCGCTTAAGGACTTTACCAAGGATAAGCAACAAAAAACTTGTTTTAATTGTAAGCAGCCAGGGCATTTTGCTCGTGAGTGCCCAGCAGGGACACAGTCCCGCGCACCCCCTAAAACAATTTGCCCTCGATGCCGACGCGGCTTACATTGGGCCAATGAGTGTCATTCCAAAACAGACATTGAAGGTACACCACTTCTACCAAAACAGGGAAACTCCCAGAGGGGCCAGCCCCTGGCCCCACCATCAGAACAGAACCTAGGGGCAATCAGGTTCGTTCCCCAAACTCAGACACAGAAACAAATCCTCCCCGCGCAGACATCAACTCCCTCTGCCGCGCCACTCCAGGAAGCACGGGATTGGACCTCTGTTCCGCCACCGATACAATATTAATACCCGATCAAGGCATCCAGCTCCTCCCCACCGAAACTTATGGACCCCTACCCCCTGGAACATTTGGCCTAATCTTAGGACGAGGAAGCTCTACGTTGGCTGGCCTCCACATTACCCCAGGAGTTATTGATAACGACTATACGGGACAAATTACTCTCCTGGCATCAGCCCCGACAGGCCCTATATCTATCCCTAAAGGAAAAAGAATAGCTCAGCTCATACTACTCCCCTCAGATTCCACAACTAAAAGCAACGACAAAAACCCCAGATTAAATGCTGCCTTTGGCTCCTCTGATACCTATTGGGTACAACAAATCACCCCTGAAAGACCATTACTAACTTTATAACTAGATGGAAAATCATTCGAGGGTTTAGTTGATACCGGAGCAGATGCCACGGTAATATCCGCCCAATACTGGCCTCCCAACTGGCCTTGTGAAACATCTGTAACCCATCTCAAAGGCATTGGTCAATCTACCAACCCCAAGCAAAGCTCGAAAATTTTAACCTGGAAAGATAACGAGGGCAATTCAGGACACGTCCAATCCTACATAATTAGTGGATTGCCTATTAACCTGTGGGGACGTGACATTTTATCTCAATTAAAACTTATTATGTGTAGTCCGAATGAAATAATTACCCAACAAATGCTCAATCAAGGCTATCTACCGGGCCAAGGCCTGGGAAACAATAATCAAGGCATAAAACAACCTCTTACTGTTATACCCAAAAACGACCGCCTAGGATTAGGAAATAAAAATTTTTCATGACGGCCATTGACTTTCCTGTACCTCACGCGGACAAAATTAAATGGAAATCTGACTCTCCTGTGTGGGTAGATCAATGGCCCTTGAATGAAGAAAAACTTACAGCTGCCACCAAGTTAGTACAGGAACAATTGGCTGCAGGACATTTAGAGCCTACCACCTCCCCTGGGAACACTCCTATATTTGTAATCAAAAAGAAAACAGGATCATGGAGACTCCTCCAAGACCTCAGGGAAATCAACAAGACCATGTCTTCAATGGGAGCCCTTCAACCTGGCCTCCCTTCCCCAATAGCCATCCTGGCGAACCACTTTAAAATCATCATTGATCTTAAAGATTGCTTTTTCTCCATTCCCCTCCATCCCCAAGACAGAGAACGTTTTGCATTTAGCATCCCCGTCACCAATTTTAAAGGGCCAATGCACCGCTATCAGTGGAAGGTGCTCCCTCAAGGCATGGCAAATAGCCCCACACTATGCCAAAAATTTGTAGCCCAGGCTATAGACCACCTCAGGCCCCAGTGGCCTTCCATCTATATCATTTATTATATGGATGATATCCTCCTAGCTGGAGCCTCCACCTCTGAGGTCCTTAAATGCAGCCAAGAATTAACTGACTGTCTCACCTCCTTTGGCCTCCATATTGCTCCTAATAAAATACAATTAAAGAACCCCTACTATTACCTCGGCTTTGAATTAACCTCGAACAAAATCACTACCCAGAAAATACGACTAAAAACCTCACACCTACAAACCCTTAATGATTTCCAAAAATTTTTAGGAGACATCAACTGGCTTAGACCTTACCTTAAATTAACTACTGAAGAATTAAAACCCCTCTTTGACATACTACAGGGAGACCCTAATCCCTTATCCCCCCGAAAGCTCTCCCCTGAGGGAAAAGAAACCTTAAACATCGTTGACACAGCTATACAACAACAACAAATTACATTCTTATCATATAACAAACCCTTTGCCCTCATCGTTTGTGCCACGCCACATACCCCTACTGGGGTCTTATGGCAAGATAATCCTCTATTGTGGATCCATTTACCATCCTCCCCGTCTAAGGTCCCCACCACATATCCCTCACTTGTCACCAAAATCATAAGACTAGGCAGGGAAAAAAGTCGCCAACACTTCGGCAGGGATCCTGATCAGCTTATCCTCCCTTACACAAAGGAACAAATAGATTGGCTCTCACAGAATATGGATGACTGGATCATATCCCTTGTCTCCTTCCAAGGCAAAATTGACAATCATTACCCCTCACACAAACTCCTCCAATTTTCGCGATTACACCCCTTCATTTTCCCTATAATCACCTCAACCACTCCCTTAGAAAGTGCCTCCTTAGTTTTCTCTGATGGATCCTCCTCCGGTATTGCTGCTGATATTATAGATTCACAGAGCTACAATATCCAATCCCCCTTTCAATCAGCTCAGCTCGTAGAATTATTTTCTATTTTACAAGTTTTTAAAACGTTAAGCAAGACCCCTTTAATTTGTACACAGACAGTGCCTACATAGCATTCTCAGTCCCTATTCTAGAAACAGTACCTTACATCAAGCCCTTTACCAATGCTGTCTCCCTTTTTCATCAGCTCCAATCCCTCATACTGCAAAGACAGGCCCCTTTTTATATTGGACACCTTAGGGCCCATTCTGATCTTCCCGGCCCCCTTTCTTCTGGCAATGCTCTAGCAGACGCAGCAACCCACCTTACCGGGATGTCATTACAGACCCTATCTCCAGAGCCCAACAATTCCACGCTCTTCACCACCTTAACGCCCACACCCTTCGTCTCCTGTTTAAAATTACAAGAGAACAAGCTAGACAGATTGTTAAAAATTGCCCAGGATGCATCACTCTATTACCCCTCCCCCATCTGGGGGTAAATCCGAGAGGCCTACTCCCTAATGAAATCTGGCAAATGGATGTCACCCATATCCCCGAATTTGGGAACCTTAAATATACTCATGTAACTATTGATACCTACAGCGGCTTTATCTTTGCAACGCTCCACAGCGGTGAGGCCACAAAAAACATTATAGCCCACGTCCTCCAGTGCATTACCATTATTGGTAAACCCCCCAAAATTAAAACAGATAATGGGCCCGGATACACCTCACAGGCATTTCAGAATTTCTGTCATCAATTCCATATCAAGCATATCACAGGTATTCCCTATAACCCCCAAGGCCAGGGGATAATTGAGCGCGCACACCAAACACTCAAAAACACAATTAACAAACTCAAAACTAACACTATTTACCCTACAAAAGGCTCTCCTCGAAATATCCTCGATCATGCATTGTTCACTCTCAATTTCTTACAATTAGATAACCACGGTAAATCTGCTGCCGATAGACTATGGCACCAAGAAACAAAAAGACAGTATGCAAAAGTCATGTGGAAAGATCCTCTAACCTTTAAATGGCATGGTCTGGACTCAGTCCTTATTTGGGGCAGAGGCCTACATCTATGACACATGAGAAGAAGGACCCCGATGGCTACCGGAACGACTTATAAAACCCATAGACCCCCCCCTAACCCCCCCGAGAAATAACCAAGTCTCTTCCAGGGAAGGAAATCCCTGAGATAAACTCTTCTTTATCCACAGATACAGAAAAATACAATGCCCAGCCGGACTGAGAAGTAGCCACTGGAAATGCTTTGGTACATCTGGGTCATCATCCTTCTTATCCTGCTTATCATCTTTGTCACTGCCCTCTACGAGTGCCGCCGAGACCCAAGACTTGTTCCAGGAGGTACACTTTTCTGCCCCTGCTGGGATCCGGAAAGACAGTAAATTTATCACCCAATGGCTACATCTCTCATCATCTTCCTAACGATCGCCTCTGTCAGCTGCAGTCGTCATCAACCCTTCAGCCAAACATGGTCTGTCACCGCATATATCGACGGTAAAGTACTATATTCCACCACACACGTTGCCCCATTGAACCCCTTCTTCCCCACTCTCAAATTCGATCTCACAGATATTATGGAGCCAGGGCCCGCTAGGTACCCCAGTAGTCAGGGCAAGGTAGAATTTTATGTCTGTCCCAGCACCCGAGGTAATAGAGCAAAAACTAGACAATGTGGAGGCACCGAATCCGCCTTTTGTGGCTCTTGGGGATGTGAATCACAGGCACCTTGGTTAAAGCCAAAGCCTGATGCCCTTATATCTATCTCTAGAGATCCCCTAACCATAAATAATTGTGATGATTATCCACTTAAAGGTCATAACCCAAGAACGCCATGGCCGCCCTGCAATGGACTCCTTATTACCTTCACAAGTAAAGGCAAAACTTATTCAGGCTGGACTTCAGGAGTAGATTTTGGAATTAAACAGTGTCTTCAAGGGACAGACTATGGAGGTGTCCTCACTATTAAACTACAAGCCACACCATCCACACCCCCGGTCAAAGTCGGCCCTAACCTAGCTGTCTCCCTAGCTGATAAAAATAAGCCTTCTCTGAAACCACTACCTACTGAACCAAACTCCAATACTTCCCCCACAGCTCAGACTCCCATATTGCCCCCCATAGGACCTCCATCCACCAAGGACTCTATGTTATCCTTACTCTCTGCTACCTTCCACACCCTAAACCAATCTGACCCCAATATCACCCAGTCCTGTTGGTTGTGCCTCTCTGCTATCCCTCCCTTTTATGAAGGCATAGCAACGTCCAACGGTTACTCCATTGTTCAAAACATCACCCAATGCCGTTGGCAACACAGTGGGCAGGGAAAA